TCCCTCACCCCAAAGACTGTGTTCTCACCCAGCTTCATTTGGTTTCTGGAGCRTGATTCCTTTCAGTAGGGCCACAGCTCCTGGGAGGGAGAGAAGAACTGAGGACAGCACTGCCCTCCATTCAAAGGACCCAAAGGAGACAGGCAGGCCCTGGTAGCTCCTTTGCCTTAATAACCACAACCAGAACATGGAGTCCTTCTGTAGGCTACTCAGCTGGAACCTATTACCCTTCCTCTTCTTATTTGCAGAGGGAGTGTTCTGTTTTGTTTGTTTACTTGTCATCTACTTCTGTCTTCCTCATTTATTTCAACTAAGCATGTTCACCTTAGAATAAAAAATGAGATCTAGAAATAAWCCTCACCTTGTGGAAATCTGCCAGCCTCTCATTTACTATGCAGTGTGGAAGGTTTCTGGAAGTATGTTGACCTTGACATAAAGCTTTACCCTCTTCACTAAATAAGCATAGACACATCATCAGTAAGTAAGCTTGGCAAAGCCCAAAGCACATGATTAATATTMTCTTTATTTGTTCATTTATTCTTTTGGCAGATTTTAATGAGAACCTGTTACATACCCAGCACTCTACTACTGAGAGCAGGAAATAGAAACGYRTTAGGCAGACAGGGTTAAGGGCCCCTCCTGAGGTGGCATTTTGCTTCCGCACGTCTGCCATTGACCACAAATGGAGTAGACAGCTCATGGCCAGTGACTCCATCGGAGCCTGAACATCTGTGCCAAAACCCTGAAGCGAAGTGGCATGAAATCGACATCCTGATTGGACAGGAGGTGCATAAACACCAGGCACCCTGGTGTGACTGGACTTAAAGACCCACTTCTTTAAAACATCTCTAAGCCTGTGGTCTTCAAGGTCACCTAACTCCCCTCCAAGGTTATCAGTATAAGCTCCTAGATGAGAGACGCCCAGCCCTCTTGGGACCCCTCCCCGTATGGGAGCCCTGTTTTCTTGCWGTTACTTTAATAAATCCTGTTACTTTGCTCTCACCCTTCATGCCCATGGATTTCATTCTCCAAGTTCACAAGACAAAGAACCTGCATGTCTTCGTGTCTCACAGTGACCATGGGTAGGTATTTGGTGGTGAGCATGGCACTTACCACCACCAAACCAACAACCTAGAGCAAAGGTCCCTCYTCCCGACAGGGGCTGGAAAGAGAAGCCAATGCACGAGTAAGTAAAGGGAAAAAAGAATYCGACCTCTTCGTGGGTCTTTTGTTTCCTCACCTTTGATAGAGATTTGGGAACAGGGAACTATTGCTCTACCATAAGAAACACCACAGGACTGTGTGACAACAAGCCTGCCTGCTAACTGACCACCCAAGGCCGTGGCAGGGCAGAGGCAGAAATGGAAAGAGCACACACCATTCATTTCATCCCTATGGGAAACTCTGCCCAGAGCTGATGCCTGTCTCCAAGAGAAGCCACGACCTCAAGACTTCGTGAAGGCTTCCAATTTTTAGAAAAGCATTATTTAAACTGAATAAAAATGTCTGCCAGCCTGATTGGATGGAGGTGGCCATCTTGGGAAGCTGGTCAAAAAAAATGAATGAGCTGCAGTTATTCAACATAAAGTTGCTTTTCCTGTTGTAACCACAGGAATTAACCTGCAATCTGTCAGAAACTATGATCAAAATGGATCAAGATCTGAATCACAAGATTCAGGGCAACATTGTTTGCCTCAGACACTGGGTATCAGACTGCTTTTACTATTTATTTCTGCCTATAGGCTTTTGGTAGAAATTTCTAGAAGAGTTAAAGGGAAGGTGTCTAGAAGGGAGTTTGTTTTCTGGTCTTTGATATGAGAATGAAGCTGACTAGATCCTCTTTTACAAGGCCTGAGGAGAATATGGAGAGAAAAGGCTTCCAACCCTGAATGACGGTATGCTGCTGACAGGCAATCTGGGCTGTCTAGAAGAACAGCTGATTCTGATCTCTTAAGCAACTAAAATATCTGAAAGGTGGGAAGCCCTGAAGCATAAGCCTTTGATGGAAGGGAGGTGCCTGCGCATGATCCTCTCGCATCCCAGAGTGTGGCCATCAAAGAAAACCAAACTGAACAGCCACTGAAGCAGGAGGAGAAAGGAGACCTCAGTACAGAACTGGACTCCGTTCTAAATGCAGCAAGAGCGAGTAGGAATTTGTAGCCAAGGAGCTGAGTGGGACCCCAGAGTAAAAATGTACATCAAGATGCCAGGAGAACTGGGGCTGGGGCTGGGGCTCAGCAGTAGAGCTYGCCTTGCATGTGTGAGATCCTGGGTTCAACTCTCAGTACCACATAAAAATAAATAAACAAAATAAAGATACTGTGTCCATGTATAGTATAACTTTAATTTTTTTTAAAAAGATGCCAGGAGAATGGATGGAAAATTAAGAAGGGGCATCAAGAGAGGGAATTCTAGTTAAACTTACCTGACAGCATTTTTCTTCCTTTCCTTCCTTTCTTTTTTTTTTCTTTTTTTTTTAATCATGGCTGTTTTACCACTTAGATACATCCCAGCCCTTTTAAAATTTTTATTTTGAGAGAGGGTTTCCATAAATTACCCAAGCTGGCCTCAAACTTGCCGTCCTCCTGCCTCAACCTCCAGAGTAGCTTGGATTACAGGCAGGTGTCACTGCATGCAGTTCTGACAGCATTCTCATTAAAGACAAGCCAGGGAGGTCAAATGCCACCTGGAGGATAGTGGGAGGTGAGGAACCTGATTAGATTATCATCAAGGGTGATTGCATATAGATAAGGAAGGGCGGAGTTCTTGCTAAACTGACTTAGCAGTGTTCTTGGTACAACTGGTTTTTATAAGGAAGTACACAGATGGGCCTGCCTGGGAGCAGGTTCAGGAGCCTCCTTGTCACCCCTTCCAACCCCTCTCATCATCCCAGCACTGGCTTGTGGGGAAGGCACGGAGACTGAGGGTAAGTTAGATGTGAATGGCCATAAGAGATGGTGTGTTTAAGTTTTAAGACTAGAGCAGCTTCCCTTAAAGTGGAAAAGGTTCTAGAGCCGCTGGTCACAGGTGCAAATAGGGGAGATGCAACCTGTTGAGATACAAAACATTTCTCAACCCCTGAGAAAGGAAGCAGCAGCAGGACTGGGCCCAGGGATGGTCCTTGTGGTGCAGACTTGATAAGCTTCTGCCAGCCTGCTGGGAAGCCTTAGGTGAGTTCCACCTCTCAGCATCCCACCTGGGCTGACTGGGCTTTCATACCCACCTTCCTCAGTCATGAGGTGAGACGGGCCATCCCAAGAAGGACCAGTCTTCTAGCAAGAGACTCTGTAGCCAAGGCACACCCTGCAGGAGCTGTCTGCTGACCATACTCCCCACAGCTGGGCAGCAAATCCTTCTTTGAAAAGAGGCCTGAGTAGAGCACCTTTGTGTTCACCACACCAGCTGATCCTAGCAGAATCTGTCCAAGGGCTCTAACAACACTGTGGGTGGACAGATGTGCCCACTGGCCTATGATAAATGCCCTGGCCCATCACATCCTCATCTTGAACATCACACTGCTTATGTTAGAAGTGATCCTGGAGATGTCCTCTGAATGATTCCCTAGAACAGAACTTCCCAACTGGCCAGGAAAAAAAAGGCCAAGACACCTMTCTGTTCAGGACTCTGGGCTGGTTGCCTCCACAAGGAACAGTCTTGTTAGCTTAATCCCACTGTGAAAAATAAAGGTTGTTTTTAAAACTTTGTGATGCACTGCTCTGAACCCACATGATGGCCCTGCCTTCAGTCACTGGCCATAGAGTGACTGGACTTCTATCATACACCAGGCTCCAGGCCGACAACCACAGGAAGGAGAGTGGAGAACAAGTTATACAAGTTCACTGTCATTGAGACACGGGCACATGCCTAGTGAAAGAGAGGCCGAATAAGTCAACATAGAGATAGATACATAATRAGACAAGTGACAAGTGCTGCAGGTGAGGATTTCCGACAGGCAGGGAGGAAGGTTTGGAAGACATGAGATCAGAGACCCAGGAAGGCCCTACAAGACATGGGATGGCTTTCATTATATTCTAAGCACAACAGAGAGCTGCAGTGTGGAGGGGGGGGTGTGTCTGGAGGGCTAAGCAAGGGAAGACCTGGTATGATTTGTATTTCTACAAGACTTTCCATGGAGAACATAGCAAGGTGGTGGCAGTGGTCTCAGGAAGCTCAGTAATCCAGACTAGAAACGCTCGGGTCACTGTGGAGAGTCACAGCAGAGATGGGGAGGCAGAGGGGAATGCAAAATGCATTTTCGAAAAAGAATCAGCCCTTCCTGCTTTTGAGAATTTCCCACTGTTGGAAAAACAAAATGATTTCTTCAATAAAAATAAAGGCCCAGATGGATGGGCATAGGATGGATCCTGGAAGGCTTCCTGGAGGAGTCAAGATGCGGGGAACGAAATGTAAGTTTTTGCCCAGTGAGAGGGGAAAGGGGACTTCTAGCAGAGGTGACAGCATATGTAGGAGCTGTGAAAATGAGCCTTGCTGACCTCCAACCKCAGAGACCTAAATGACCAGGGGCCCCACCCACAGTGTCTACTCCAGCCTGCTTRTGCTGGTCACTTTGGGTTTAGACGTCTGTTCGCATGAGTCTTTTTCCTCTCAAGATTCAAGCTCCTGAGAGTCTGTCTTATCTATGGCRACAATAAATATTTCTTGACTAATAAATATTCCTATTCTCTAATAGTCACACTGCYCAACTCTAAAGTGCCCATCACTTCTTCACTTTCTGGTCCTCCTTGTGGACGTCATACGATGCAGTATTTGCAAAGTCTTTGCCTCCAGGTGTGGCCTCCCCATCAGCTCGTTGAGGGTGAAGCCTCTGGRAGTTCTATTTTTGTCCCTTCTCAAGGGTCACGATATTTAAAGACTCCCAAATGAAATGAGAGAACAAGTGGATTGAATCTCTGTATAGTTAGCTATTACCAACTAATGGGATTCTGTTCCTTTCTTTGTTCCCAGGGTGGTAAAGTGACTTCACCTGCTGCTTCTCCAACATGTCTTCTGAAAACAATTCAGTGTCAGGAGACTTGGCTGCTCCCTCTCCCACAAGGTCTGAATTTTCCACACAGAACTTCCCTTCAGCAAAAGAAGATACCAAGGTAGAGTTCGATAGGGAGAATTTGAGGGATACATCTACACCTGGTGAAACCAAAAAGTCTCTGAAAGGGAAACATTACCCAGGAAAGGAAGAGGATCTGGAGAAGAGAGAGCATTCAAGGCAGGAAGACTCTCTGGAGGAGGAAGTCGCTCTGGAGGAGTATGAGTCTACCGAGGAGGAAGAGTATCTGGAGGAGGATGAGTATCTAGAGGAGGACAAGTTTATAAACATAACAGACTACATGTTTAAAGGAGAGAATCTGAGAAAAGCACATCCATTTGAAAAGCATCTGGGACAGGGTGAGTATCCAGAGGGAGGGAATATCTAGAGGAGGAAAAACGTCTAGAAGGGAAACAGTATCTAACAGTATCTTTATAMAGAAGAGCATCTAGAAGTGGGTATCTGGAGGCAGGCCTCTCAAAAGATGGTCACCCCTGGAAGAAAGAACAAGCCCCAGAGGCAACCAAGCCCAAATTATTAACTCTGTCCATGGTGCTGACAGGTAGGAAGACTCTTATAGGCAAAGTTCTCACAACTCCAACAGCCATGCCCCAAGCACTGTGCCCAAGACGGGGAGACCTCAGGAAATAAAGTGCCTATTTAAAAAAAAAAAGATAATTTTTATCTTTTCCTTATTGTACCCATTCATTGTGGGTGTTTTAGATACTAAATATAGTATAAATTTTAAAAGAAAGGAAAGAAAGAGAGAAAGAAATTACCATTGCTCAGAGATGATAATCACTTTTCACACTTTGGTTCTACCTCCCCAGTATAATTTACTGACTAGTGATATTTTATTCCTTTCTCGGTTACCAGGTTAATAAAGGTGGAGATCAGAGGGKTTTTTTTTGTACCAGGGATTGAACCCAGGGGCACTCAACCACTGAGCCATATCCTCTGCCCCACTTTTTTWATATTTATTTTGAGACAAGGCCTTGCTAAGTTACTGAGGCTAGCTTTGAGCTCATAATCTTCCTGCCTCAGCTTCCTGAGCCACTGGGAATATAGGCATGAGCCACCAAGCCCAGCTGCATCAAACTTTATTATAGTGTTTTAACCAGTTTTTAACGTTCCTTTGTTTATATACTAATATGCTGTGGTCATAAATAAATAGTATGTATTTATATGAATATAATTTTATATTTCAAATTTTTAGTATTATTTAGCTTACTTTTCTTTTTTAATYTTTATTTTTAATTAACTCAATAATTGTACATAATTATGGAGTACAACCTGACATTTCAATGCATGTATTCAATGYGTAGTGATCAGATCAAGGTGACTGGTAAATCTGTCAGCTCTGGCATTTGTCCTATCTTTGTGTTGAGAGCCTTCAAAATCTTCTCTATTAATTACTTTTAAATATTCAGTGAATTGTTGTCAAACATAGTTAACCTACTGTGCTATGGAACATTAAAAGTCATTCTTCCTATCCAAAGGCACCTCTGTWCCCAATAACCATCCTATCTCCACCTCTTCTCCCCCACTTCCTTCCAGACTAAGTCACAATATTTCCAATTGATCCCCTATTATCAACCATTCATTGTTTCTGATCTTATTGTTACTTTTGTAAAACAACATTTTGGTGAACATATAACTAAGTTTTTTTCAATGGTCTCTAATTATTTCCTAGAAGACATTCCTACCATCTGATAATAGATCAAAAGRCCCTGATAAAGACCCTGCTATGCTTCACAGGGTGCCCATTCAAACCCCCRGAAGGAATAGTCTTTCGATGCAGCTGAATATTTGACTTTGGAGTGATGCCTCTCATCCCAGGGCTGACACTTTTCCAATACTGTCTCTGCAATTGGCACGACTTCCTTGAGTAGAATTTCACCATTTGACAACTTCCCCCTTGTGCTGTTCACCAGCAGTGGTTAATGGGATTCACAGAGGTGCATGGGGTRTCTCACCTTGATGTCGTGACTACATGACTATATCCAACAAGGTACAGAAGCTTTAGTTCCAGGCCATCTGTATCRGCTTAAGTCAAACTAGAAGTAAAACTATTCTTCTGCCTCAGTTCCGCTACCTACTGCAAACATCCCAAGCAGCTTAAATAGTTAGTCCTAAAAATCTGATTCCACACACACAAAAAGCTGGGTGTTCTCAGCAGATATTTTATCTGTATCCTTTTTTTTTTGTCTAATCACATGTATCATTCTCCATTCCTACTATCTTCATGAAAGTTGAGTTGTTGTATTGGAGAGGTAATTGCTCTATTGCTGGGAAATTCTTTTCTGTGTGCCTCTACAACTAAGCTCCCTCTTGGGATCCTAATATCCCCGCTGTTCAAGTACCAAGCGCAATTCTAATACTGAAAAATAGCATTCAGGGTTTTTCTCTTGCACAGTATGAATCAAGCATTCTTAACATGTCCTCTCTATGTGCTGAATCTTTGTAAATATATTACCCACTAGAGCAGGACAAATACAATGCTGTCAAGTGAATGGAACTGTGTATAAAGCAAAAGCTTTGAAAATAAATGGCCTGCTAGCGAAAATTGGAAAGGCACTGAAAAAAACTGTAGGGGAATGCTAAAATGGATTTAAAGGTACATGGAAGAATGCCTTGGTCTATGCAAACCCAAAGTACCAAGCCAGATTGTACAAAACAGGTTAAGAAGGGACTTACGAGAGAATTCACTTTTTGAAAGAATTTATAGCAAGGTTTCTTTTTAAAAAATGTTTTTGTTTTTGRTTTTTGTTGATAGACCTTTATTTTATTTATATGCAGTGCTGASAATCAAACCCAATGCCTCACACATGCCAGGCAAGTGTGCTACCGCTGAGCCCCAGTCCCAGCCCCAGCAAGGTTTCTCTCTTTTTTTTATTTTTTATTTTTASGTGGACACAATATCTTTATTTTACATTTATGTGGTGCTGAGGATCGAACCCAYTGCCTCATGCATGCTAGGCCAGCACTCTACCACTAAGYCACAACCCCAGCCCCGCCAGCAAGGTTTCTTTATGTAGAATATTCTTCTAATATCTTTAAGATATAACTTTGTTTTTCCCTTGTTTTGCATCTCAGTGCCCAACAAGAGCACCTCCGTGACCCATAGCAGATGTTCCGTACATGCAAATTGAATCAAATTATCAAATTCATTTTATAAGGCCACACATGAGCACACAGAGAGACATTTATTTAAAAAATATATATATGGTTGGGCACAATGGTGCATACCTATAATCCCAGCTATTCAAGTGGCTGAATGAAGTAGGTTGATTGCAAGTTCAAGGCTGACCTGTGCAACTTAGCAAGACTCTGTCTCAAAATAAAAAGACKGGGGATGTAGCTCAGTAGTAGAGTACTTATGTAGCATGTGCAAGGCCATGGATTCARCGCTCCATACTGCATGAATTAATTGGCATTTATAGTATGTTCCCTAGAGAAGACAGATAGGCTCCTATCCCTCATTATGATTGGCTGGTTTCCAGATATTGGTGGTGGATCACTATGTTGAGAAGGATTGTGAGGCTCCATCTGGGCTCARCAGGAAAGAGTGCTGTGCTTGACTAGCAATGTCTGCCACAGGATCCGTCAGTGAAGGGGGAGCATCATTGCCCTTTATTTGCTTACTTAGGGGCAGATGGGAGTCTGCCACATGAGCACATTTTTCTTTCTATCTCTGGAGTTTGACTGCTTAGGTTTGAATGCCTGCTCTCTCCCACTTTCTAGTGGCATGAAGTTGGACAAATCTGTATCTTGGTTTTCCTTCACTGAAATTAGCAATAGCAATAGACCTACCTTATTGGATGTAGGTGAATATTAATGGGGTCAAGTTATCTGAAGCATTATGAGCTCTGCCAGGTACTTAGCATTTTAAGCCTATGTAAATGTTAGCTATTATTAATATCATTCCCCTGCCATTGACTTTGAATGGCCACACTCCCTGGCCACATTTCCCTACCTTGTGAAATGGAAATAACCCAAAGACAAGACAAGAAATGGTGTAGAGGGTATGAGAGGGATCTGCACCCTCCACCTTATATTCTGTGGCAGRTCAATTCTAGTCATTCCATTACTCTGCACAAATCCAGTTGTCAGACCAACAACCCCCACCCGTCTCTTTCCTAAAGACATGATTTCTTCCATGGCTGTGGAAAAATCCAATAAAATTAGATGTGCAACTAAAATATAAATACAGCATCAATTGCCACTGAATAATCTATAGCCACATTTATCTGACATCCCCAAGGGGTTACAAATACTGGATGTGGCACGTGAGTGTAAGCCCTGTGGCACCAGCACCAGAAGACCCAGCACATGGTGGGGTCTATGACCTGGGCATGTCCCTTCCTTTCTCAGGGTTTCAGTTTCTCCTTGCACAAAAACATCTTTCTTCACAAGGTAATTGGGATGATTAAATAAAATAATATACCTGAAAATGCCCTGTTATCTCCCACACCATATAAAACTRTAAGGTGTGAAAATACTCTTCTGATCTCACGAGAAAGAAGGTGCCAGAAGGAAGGAGTAAACCTACCTGCTGCCACAGAACATGCTGTCAAGAGGAAGGACCCCATGAGGAGGACCCCCMCACACACACTTTTTTTTAAACCCCAARAACTTCCTAATGAGAAATCTGCTCCTTGGCAAGAGACCTCACAGTATGTTGATTTTGATTCATGAAAGTTGTGCCTAATAATACTTTGAAACATAAAATACTCTGGATTTGATTTTCTTTACCTTTGCTAGCTCCTCCTGGAGCCTCTGACTGCTGTTTGTCCTAAATGCAATGACAAGATTGTCAATCCGGTTGAGAGTTGATGTCCAGACTGCTATTCCCGAGAGGAAATCTAGCTATTAAGAAASATGCAAGAAAGACTCATAAAGCTGGAGGGGAGGGCCAGCTGAGTTCTGATGCAGGAAGACTTCCCRTTTGTAGATTTGAGTTGGCAACCGGTAGGGGGGATGCTGGTGACCCAGGGCTGGGGACATCCAGCCTCCACTCTCTACAGATTCCTGCTGTGTATTCGGCATGTGTCCCATCCCAAGGAAGGTCAGGCAACACAATCCAATGGCACAGGGTGTGTATGGTTCATTTCACAGATTGTATCTCCTTTGATGCTCCCAGCCATGATCCCCCATCCCTGCTTTACAAATGAGGACCTGGATTCAGAGGATATGTGACTAGTCCAAGACCAAGTCTCCCCAGCTCTCTCTCCTCTCCCAATTACTTCTTTCTCTTCTCCTTTCCATCCTCCTTTCATCCTTTGTTTCTATTTAATAAGCTATGTGCATATCTTCATTTTCAAAGAAATAATCTATTCTTGATCATCTCTTTTAAAAGATRAACTGGACACAGTGACCCACGCCTGTAACCCCAGCGGCTAGGGAGGCTGAGGCAGGAGGATGGTGAGTTCAAAGCCAGCCTCAGCAAAAGCGAGGCACTAAGCAATTCAGTGAGACCCTGTCGCCAAATAAAATACTAAATAGAGCTGGAGATGTGGTTCAGTGGCCGAGTGCCCCTGAGTTCAATCCCCAATACCAAAAAAAAAAAAAAAAGGAAATTTGAAAAAAGTAGAAATACCTCACCCCTATCTGCTAATATCCAAACACAGGTAAAGCAAATCCACATTTTAGTGCTTTGTATTCTGTCTCCTACCCTTATCATCTGCATATGTGTCAGTGATGGTTGTCATTTTGTGGTAGTGTCTTGTTTTTAACCATCTTAAACATGTTGTATACCCAGCTCGTATTCTACTTTTATAACTGACTATTACAGTTTCACCATTTGCCCATGTTGCTTAATTTTTGTAGACATCACACTCTCATAGGCAAGTCATTTCCTGAATCCCATTCTGTCCCATGAGTAAACTCTGGGTAAGTATAATTGTTAAACATTTATGTTTCAAGTTGAACTGTTTTCGTTCTCATTTCCTGACTGCTTCCACTTTGCCATTCTCTATTCCTTGAATTCATGGCATATTTTATCCCAATGTACGTGAAATTCTTGATGTCATACCATCAAGGCAATCAATAAAGTGATATCATAAATGATATGAGCAATTTCTTTAAAGTTAAAAATAATTCTTAATATTTTTATGTCCTCTGTACCTTGGTCATCTCTGGTAGACRAATGTCTTTTGGCCCTGACAGAGGGAGGAATTTGTGAACACCTAAGAGATTAGCAAAAGAAACTCAAATTTCCAAAATCCACAGTTTCTTGAAAATTCTGTTCTTGAATTCTGTCTCGTTTTATAAAGTTSAATCTCATAATGTATAAGACTGAGGTAAAGTGAAACTAGAAAACTGCTGTAATTCAAGCCTCAATTTCAGTATCAGGGATTTTAAGAAAAAAAAAATTAAATACAAAGAAAAATAGTTTTTTTYCCCCTATTCCTGCCAATATTGTCTTTCTGTTCTTCTGTTCTTTTTTCCAATAGACTTCAAATCGGTTTATTCATCATTGATGTTATCTCGTCTTAATGCAAGGTAAGAGTCTTTGCAGTGGTGTGGAGATGGGTAAGTGAGGTGAAAACTCACACTTWGGAATTCTGTTTGAACCTTTGGAAGACCAAAGATGAGGAGGGATGTGGTAGGGCTCCAGAGAAAGAGTTGGTTGAGCAAGGGGCTTCTGCTCACTGCTGCCACAGAGTTGCTCACGGGGGTGGGTTCTAAGATCAGGGTCCTAGTGCCCAGAACTACCAGAGATAGAAGGGCAGGGCATCCGAGTCTGGAGATAAGAGCTCAACCCACCAGAGACAGCAGAGGGCTCATGGGCAGTGTCCTTGGGTAAGCAGAGAGTGGACGGCCAAAGGGATGGTGCAGTCTATCCAGGGAAAGAAAAAGGCTGGGCTTGTTTCCAAGGTCAACTATCATTCAGGGAATATTGATTAAATTTCTGTGACAGGACTTGACATACCCCAGACACTCATTATGGAAGAAATGAATAAATGCTTTCTATGTGCCCAGCTCTGAAGAAACCAGTATGGGAGCRTCCCCAAGCCTTCTGATCCACAGTCCTGGTCCTCGTGTCTCATTCCCTACAATACCCCCCCAAAGCCCCCAAAGGATGATCCTGGTGGCAGAGGTGGGCAGTCAAGTGTCTCCACTGGTGAACTGGGTTGACATGAGATTTAAAAAGTGCACAAGGCCAGTTTGGTTTTGGTGAGAAGCAGGAATTAAGTCCCAACTTTGTTGAGTAGGAAAGCCCCAAGGTCAGCTGGAGGGGACTGGGCCTCCTGTTGGCCTGGCAAGGTGGCATCCTGCTCTTGCTCTGCACCACCCCTCTGGTCCACACTTCAGGCCTCCAGAGGCTTAGCCAGGTAGATCTGATTGATGCTAACCACCCCTCAAAGGCCTTGCACATAAAGGGAATAGCTTTTGAAGACCCCTTCACTTCACTTCCTGGCACCCAAAAGCAAGTTCAGTGATATGGCACTGAAGGGGCCTAACTGTAAAATGATTGCTTCAAGGTGTCTGAGAACAGGGACTCCGGAGCCACACTGCCTGGGTTTGAGTCTCAGCTCTGGGTTTGAGTCTCTGCATAGCTTAGCTTGCAGTACGTTATAGGGCTGCCACTCCATCTCCTTGTACCTGTTTCTCCACCTGTATAAAGGAAGAGGAAGAGAGTCCAACTCATGCATTGTGAGGCAGAGTTGTAACGGGTGGCTAGCACGCAGGACACCTCTGCCAGCGCTAGGGATCGTTGTTATTCTCTATTCTGCTCCCACACTTGCCTTGAGCCACTTAGCACACCTAGAACACAAATCATGGTTCCAAGTCAGCTGTATTCCACGTGATGTGTCTATCCTTTATTCATATTTCACGGGGAATATTTTCTGTTCCCAAGAGCTCTGAGGAGCAGGGAGGACCTGAGGGACCTTCCTAGTGTCCGTATGCTCTRTGGCTGGGTCTCTGGGGATAATGTCCTGGATTTTCCTCACACAAGATAGCTGAGAGACTGAATCCTCCCCGAACCCATTYGGGCAAGAAGTGTGATGTGTGTGCACATGTGTGTTAAGGCAGGCATTGGGAAGGGGAGCAGCGACAGAGCAAGCATCCTTATMAACAGGAAGGCCAACCGCCACCCCAGGCCTGGAGGAGCTCCTCCTCCCATTTCCCCACAACTGCCCAAGTTCCCCCAGGCAAGAGCGGYCCCCTYTCCTGCTCTATAGCAGCTGAGGAAGCAGGCCTTGAGCCGTCTAAGCTCCCCAGGGGCTGGAATATGATGAGTACTCCTTGTACTCTCTCCCTGRTGGATGGAACATGGAGCTCTGTTCAGTCCAAATAGGCCGGGACCATGGTTCTGCTTCCTGAGAACTGAGGCTGCAGCAGAACCCTGGCAGGCACCACAGAGGCCCTGCCATGTCCCAGCCCAGGCAACTATACAGAGAAGGTGTTGGGGAAATGTCCACCAAGATGGAAGTGACTACAGTTCCTACCTCACCTCAAGCATAACCCGCTCTGTTTGTTCAACAGCTTTTCAAAGTCCTTTCATGGGGACTTGCATTACCTCTTTGGGTCCCAATGCACACCTGATGAGTGAGGCARGACAGGCATTATCTTGCTACAAAGGTTAAGAAAAGTCTCTGGAGGCCTGGAGGAGTGACCTGACCTGGCCTTGAGGCCTGGAGCAAAGCAAGAGGTGACACTTGCCTAGGGACCTCACCTGTGTCTGCTTGTCCTTGACCCCTGTGGCCACCTAACATAGGACCCAAGCATCTTGCCCCTAAACCCAGGGCACCTTTCCAGTATTGTGCCCTGAGAATGTAGTGATCTGTGGCCACAGATGAAGGCCCTCCGACTGTCCCTGAGCAGGTGCCTGAAAGACCTGCCTGTACCCACTACAGACATGGAAGGGAATACCCCATCCCACAGTCCCCACCACTAGGACAAGCAGCCTCCTCCTCTCACCCCAAGCCCTCACCCACTCCTCTGTCCCTGCATCAAGAAATCTGCCCCAGATCAGGTGAGGTCCCACCTGACTCCCCCTATGTGAACAATAGCAGGTAAGTCACTTAGCGGTTACTCCACTAGTGTGCAAAAGCCGACATGTAAGTTCAGGTCCTCTGACACCAAAGTCTGTTTCCTCCATCATCCATAGTCAGCTCTCCTGTATGTACTGGACATTTTCCCAAGGGCCTGTTTCTGCCACCTGGGCCAGTAACGCATGAAATGATTTCAGGGTCAAATTGCCCCCCCAAAAAATCCTCTCAATTCCTTACAATTATAGTTCTTGGGTCCCAGTTAAAAGCCAGAGATTCCTGAGAAAGGACAGAGTATGGATCAGCATTTTGGGGTTGTCTGTCTTGATTCTAAGCATCCAGAGAGCAAGGTTTGTGCCTCATACCCAATGCCTGCCCCCCTCGGGCCCTTCAGAAAACTCTCCTGATGGTGGAAGTGTTCATGGTAGTTCTCCTGCAGGAACAAGCCTCGGTGCTTGATTGAAACTGCTGTTAACACCTTCAGTGGTTTTCTATCTGCCTTGAGCAACAGTGAGGAAGAAAGGGCAAATGGAATGAACAGGGTTGTGAACCAGGAAGAAGGGGGAATGTTCTAGAATGTTCTGCTGTCCGTGATGGCAATCCAACCCCATGGTATTTGAAGGTACCGGGAGAACCTTTCATTTTGTAGTAAGGCAGAAGTTGGCCGCACATGGCCTGTGCCACCCAGAGTGTCACGCAGGCCCATAATCCATGATTTCCCAGTGAGTCCTGTCTAATCCTATGGCCTCCATCATCTGTGACTGGCAGAAGTCTAAAAAGCAGCCACCTCCTCCCCAGGCTCCCAGCAGGCCCTGGACCTGAGTCCTAGCCTGGTGTCTGACTAGAAACTGACCACCCCGCCCTCCCCCAGTGCCTGCAAGCTAGGCGAACCTGCAACCCACGGGCGGGCGGGTCAGGCCCAGCAACCTGCAGAGTCACAGAGCAGCTACACGCGCCTGCAGGGAACGCGGAC